AGTAAAAAATGGTCATTCAATGAAATAGAGGACTTTCAAGCATTCCTGTGGAAAAGACCAGAGCTGAATAGAAATTGACCTTCAAATACAAGACTCAAGTGAAACATGAAAGAGGTAAACAGGGAAGAGAAATCATAAGAGACTCATTAAGGTTGAACTGTTTACATTCCTGCAGGGAAAGATGATATTTGTAACTCATGAGTCCTCTGTCAGTATTAGGGTAGTGGGAGGGAAAAAATTATATGTATGCATAGATAGATAGATAGAGGACACAGGGTGAGTTGAGGATGAAGGGATATCTGGAAAATAGAGTTAAGGAGTGGGAGAGGACTATACTGGGAGAAGGAGAAAGGGAGAAGTGGAATGAGGTAAAATATCTCACTTGAAACAGGCAAGAAGGGACTTTTACATTGGAGGGGAGATGGAGGAAGGTGAGAGGGAATGAGTGAATCTTATTCTCATGGGATTTGGCTTAAGGAGGGAATAACTTGCACAATGGGGTATGGAAATCTATCTTACTCTGCAGGAAGGTTGGGGGGAAGGGGACAAGAGAACAGGGGGTTAATAGAGGAGAAGGCAGATTGAGGGAGGGGATAATCAGAAGCAAACACTTCTGAGGAGGGACAGGGTAAAAACAGAGAATAGAATAAATGGGGGGTAGGATAGGATGAAGGGAAATATACTTAGTTTTTCACAACATGACTATTATGGAAGTGTTTTGCATGACTACACATCTATGACCTGTATCGAGATGCTTGCCTTTTTGGTGAGTGTGGGTGGGGGGAGGCAGTGAGGGAGAAAATTTGTAACCCAAAGTTTTAAAAACACTTGTTAAAAAAAATTTAAAAAAAGAAGAAGAAGAAGAAACAAACAAACTAACAACGGGGAGGGGAGAAGAAAGATCTTAAGTCAGTAAACTGACACATTGAGTGATTATTCAGAGAAACAAACAACAAAAACCCAGTGTTTGTCCTGGGACCGCGTCATTGTACATTTCTCTATATTTTCTACATCAAGAGTCCTGGACAATAGTTACAATATTCAAAAATCAGATTTCCGAATACCTGCACAATCCTGAATCATAAAAAGAAAATAAAAAGAAAAAAAAAAAACTATGAGTTCCACATTCTCTCCCTTCTTTCCTCCCCACCCCACTTCATTGAGAAGGCAAGTAATTCAATATAAGTTATACACGTGTAGTCAAATAAAACATATCCACAAATCATGTTGTAAAAGACAACATAGACAAAAAAACTCAAGAAAAATAAAGTCAAAAAAGTATGCTTCAATCTGTATTCAGACACCATAAGTTCTTTGTCTGGGAATGAAATAGTCTTTTCTTTGTCACTTCTCTCTTCTCAATATGCTGTAGCCTACTTATACCAACGATACATCTTTCTCATGCCTTTTGAACCAACACAACATAATATTATAATCTATTATTGAGCAGTGTACTTTAGGCAAAAAGTATAATCTGAGTTGAGAGAAGGGGGAGATCAGTATGGACTAGGATAGTCAGTGAAGTTTCCGTACAGAGTGGAGCCTTGAAGGATGGATAATTTTGATAGATGGAAACCTGGAGGCCGGAGGCAAGTCCTGGCCTGAAGATAGATAACAAAGACTTCTGGGAGTGGGAATAATGGAAATTATCAAATTGATTTTCAAGATTTTCTTTACTTTCAAATTTATTTATTATATTATCTTTTCCTTCAGCAACTCTTACAAACTCCTGGGTTTTTTTAGTTTTCTTTCTTTCTTTTTAAAGACAGAAAAGACTGAAGCTCAGGTAAATTAGATGACTTGGTCAAGGTCACACAGAAAGTCAGTAGCAGAGCCAGGATTCAGGTCTATGGAAATTCCCAGGCCCTATATTGTTTCCCCTCAACTAGCCACTCTACCTTCAGAAAGATGCTTCACTCACCTAATAAACATTTATCAGGTGTTGCTAGGTGCTGTGCTAAGGGCTTCAGTATGTTTGTTAAATATAAAGTGCTGTTCAGATAGTATTGCAGGCCTGAAAGAAGCAATCAGAACCCAGCAAGCCCAACTAGAAAAAGTCCTTCTTGATCAAAAACATGAGAACAGCTCATGGCAGAAGGAAATGTCAGCAAATGAACATATTGCACATGATAACCATGAGCTAGCCAAATGCCTAATGAAGGTGCTCAGTCAAATGGAGTATGATTATCTGGAGCTCAGCAGCTGAAAAATTGAAAGTATCTGGATCAACAACATAAGGAAATCAATGCACAATGAAGCAATAATAACTAGAAGTGAAAAGTGAACTCAGAACTGGCATTAAGAATTTCAACCAGGTCTCTTCCAGAGTTGCTAGAAGATCTAGAGGCCGTTTTTAAAAAAACAGAAACCCTAGAGAATGAATTGGAAAGTTTGAAAGAGAACTTGCCATTTCCCACCAACAAGGAGCGTCAATAGTCTTTTGAAGAGAAGCTAAACTTATTCAAAGTTCTCATTGTGGAGGAGCACTGACATAGAGAAACAATGAGAGAGAAACTAAGTCACCATGAAGGCAGGCTCAAGGCCCAGCTTCACTGTCCTATGTCTAAGCCAGCAGAGGCCTTAATGAAAGGCAAACAACAAACAGAAGGCACTTTACACAGTTTGAAGAGACAAATTGATGCTTTGTCTGAACTGGTTACCAGCACCACTACAGACTCCATGTTTCTGGCACCTAGCTTGTCACAACTGGAAGTTTCTCTACTTGAAGACTCTCATCTCACCAGGAACCAAGGAAGGGCCTTGCCACAATGACTTGGCCACAAGGGACTACTTGGAACACTTTTTGCCTTCCATAACTGAGGAAATGTCTACTACCTTACTAACTGACAAGTCAGAGTTCCTCCCATCTGACCTTGCTAAAAAAAAAAAAAATCAACTCAGATCCAGGACCTTCTTCAGCAGGACAACGTGCTTTATACTACGAATGCAAAGATTTCTGTAAGTCATTTGGACATACGGAAATACCAACACCTAAAATTCAAATAGGGTGTGACGCTAATACCACAAGTTTTTTATAAACACATCACTCCTTTGAAATACACATTACAGGGCATAAATTGAAAGGTCTGTACTGATGTAGCAGAACACCTTGCTGAATTTAAATCCCTCTACATTTGCTAATCTTATCAAGTTTGTGTTTTGTGTAAAATTTATTTTCATATAAAAAAGATTAAACAAAAAAAAGAAATATACAATTATGAAGTACTTCTCCCTATGGAGTCAGGGAGAAAGTATGTATTTTATTTGTGATCTTTGAGGTTCTATGATCAATCTATGGAGAAGACAGAGAAAAAAAGATGAATTAAATTTCTTTTAGGTCATAAATGTTTTGATTCGTTATGAAGAAACTTTAAAAATAAAATTATGTTCATTTAAGAAGTTCATACATTCTAGAGAAAAAAACAAAATTCTATGTAGAATCCATGAAGAGCTAGTAAATACAGCCTATTCCAGAAAAACTATTTCCTGTCCTTAGTTAAGAGAGCTCAAAGAGAAAAAATTAAGCTAGCTTATTTGCTAAGAGACTAAATTTGACATTTTTCTTAGAAAAAAAAGTTTTTTTAAATATTCTTAAGAAACTTTAATCAGTTTTGGGGTTGAATTGAATGATGTGAAGTTGAATTTTCAGATAAATGAAAAAGAGTTAAAGGTCCTTAGGCTATAAACTTCCTCAAGGACAACACTAAGATTTGAAGGTCACTCTGGCTGTAAACATTCTCAAAGACAAAGTATTGTAAATAATTTTAAGTGTCTGCTTCTTATTGATTTCATTTGTTAATAAATTGTATATGCTCAGTTCTTTATTATATCTTTCATTATGGAGAAATGAGTAATAATTATAGGAAAGGTTTCTCTGGTATATTAAATAATTATTAAACTCAGATGAGTTAAATTAATTAATGTGAAACATTACAAATTTGTTAATTAAAATAAATTATCCAAATAGTCCTGGTTCACTCCAAAGTCCAGGAATATGACATTAAATAAAAGAATGAGTCAAATGGAAGGCTTAGGGGTGGCATAAAAGTAAGATTAGCCATATCCCATAATATTGCCTATACATGGGGGCAATGGAGCATGGCTATTCCTTTCTAACCTGGTACATATAGTGTCTGAATCTAGCTTTTTCTTCTCAATTTATAAGTACTCATCACAGTCTAAAGACTGTGCAAAGCAATATTAATGGCTTATATTTTTATTTCCATCCTAAAATATAAATTGCATTGTTTTAAAAGACTTTGTAATACAATCTATGTGTTGATTGGTTTTGCTTAGGTATACTTATTTATTTCAAGGACAGGATCTCTGTGGTAAGTGGTGACAATAATATAAAAAGAAAAGAAAAAGAAACAAAATAAGAACTGAAAATCAGTCAAGAAAAAAGTCAATTTTCCATCTAGAAGGTATTATATTTTTGATGTTTTGTCAGAGTCAGAGTCATTCTTAAAAACAACAAAGGAAGAGTCCTTGAAAGAGTTAATGTAACATTCTGGGAAAAGTATGAGAGTTACAAACAAAAGACAAGGGTTCAAACCACTGTTCTTCCACTTACTCAACCATAAAGAAAACACATAACATCTCAGGCTCCCATTTTCCAATATGAAAAATCAGAAGTGTAGATAAAATTATCTTGAAGAGTCCATTTTTGTTCTACTATACAATTGTATTGTGATTCTGTCTTTTAATACATCATAACTGCCAGAGTAGGCAAAAATGTTCCAAAAGTCATGAAGTTCTAATTGAAAATTAATGGGAAATGGGGAGAGAAAAGTAGGCTTAGAGTAGGAATCAACTGATGTCCACATTCTTTGAACTTATAGTTCCTAAACCATAAAAAGCACCTCAGTCCTATCTTTCTTATAACTCGAAAAATCAGTACTTGAAGCTGAGCCAAACACATTATATACTTGAATTCAAAAATTCAAACAGGCTTATTATTCTTCTCCTCTACAAATTAAAAATGTCCCCAGAACAATTCTTCAAAGGTGTTCAGGCTGCAGTTTCTTTCTAATGGCTTTGCTCAGTGCCCCCTTCACATCCTTGTTCCTCAAGGTATAGACCAGTGGATTCAGAACTGGAGTGACCACACTGTACATGATGGCCACTATTTGGTCCCGATCCATGGAGTTGCCTGAGGTGGGACGAATATAGATGAAAACAACAGGTACATAGAAAAAAATGACCACTATAAAGTGGGAAGTACAGGTGGACAATGCCTTCTGAAGCATACTACAGGACCAACTCTTGAAAAGGAGAAAACTGATAATGTAGAAGTAGGAGAGGAGTATAAGGAAGAAGGGGCTGATGGCAATGGTGCCAGTGACTGTTTCGAGCATCCAGTGGTTGAGCTCCGTATTCCCACAAGCCAGATCCAGTAGTGGCTTGATGTCACAGAAGAAGTGGTGGATGTGATTGGATTTGCAGAATGTCAAATGGGAAGTCATAACAGAATGGAGCAAGGCATGGAAGAAACCAGTGATCCAGGTTACAGCAGCCAAGCAGAGGCACACTTGGTGCTTCATAAGAATTGTATAGCGGAGTGGATTACAGATGGCCACAAAGCGATCAAAGGCCATGACACCCAGAAGGATGGCCTCTGTGCTACCAAGGAAATGGAAGAAGTGGAGCTGAGTAATACAGCCCACAAAGGAGATGGTCTTGTGAGTGGAGAGGAAGTCATCTAGCATTTTGGGCAATGTTACTGTGGAGTAGCAGATGTCCAGACAGGAGAGATTACCCAAGAAGAAATACATGGGGGAATGGAGTTGAGGCTCAGAGATGACAACCACCAGGATGGCACCATTCCCAATAAGGATGAGGATGTAGATGCTGAGAAAAACTGCAAAGAGGAAAGGTTCTACTTCCTGGGTGTCTGTTAGTCCAAGAAGAAGGAACTCATTCACTGAGGTATGGTTAGGCATTGCTGCAAAAGAACATGAAAAAGGTAAGAAGTGCTATCCTGTCTATAACCTGTGGTTGATCCAGGCTAGAGTTCTGTTGCTAAAATGGCCCCAAAACATGGGAAAGTGATTCCTGTTCTCCATGACATCAACCTCAAGTAGCAGGAAGAAATCATAACATCTCTCACAGTGTATAGACAAGTTAGAAATTGAGAAAAGGGTCCTCATGAGAAGAGTGTCCATGACTTTTTTAAATATTAGTCCTCTTCCAGCACCTGCCTCAGTCCTCTACAAGTAATAGAAGCTTAATAAATATTTTTGGACTTTAATCAAATTAACTGAATTAAACTGAATTATCAGTAGGATGATTTCACCATCACTATCAAGAAATATGAGAAAGAAAACACACATATAGCAATCAGTATAACTTGAAGAAGAGAGCAAAAAGTCCTTCCTGAAGAAGTAACTTCACTGATATGTTTTCTCATATTGTCTGACCACTAAGATAATGATTGTTATGAGATGGACTCCCAGACCTATTATTCCTCCCACATTTTATAACCCTGCTATCCTCAGTCTCATTGATGCACACACTCAATTTTAATAAAAGATTGCTAAGCAATAAATGTTCCTGTTTTCTGTTAGTAGCCTGTTTTTTTATTCTACATTACAAAGGTTGTCTCTTACCTATTCAAACTCTTGAAACAGCTGTCTCATCCTTCCCCAGGACCATCATCTATTGTTATAGGTTCAATAACTTACAGTCTCATTTTTAACTTAACCTGACAGAAAGAGAATCACAAAGAGGAGTGAATAAGAAGAGTATCATAAAATATATTCTTAATCACATGAAAATGATGTTTAGGTTTTATCTATTCATTTTTGTTGGTGCTACTGCTACCCATATACAAAGATATCTGAAACTTCATGGTAAGAATATCATTGTTTTGAAGTATAAGGAGACAATAAAGGAAATAATGATCATATTCCCAAGGTAAAGCATAATATATATCTGGACTACCTCTCTTGGATGAGGAGAGGACTAAATGAAATGAAACATATAAATTCCTTTGCAACTCTAAACAATTTGAATTGAGGATCCTTCAAAATCTTTATAACTTAAAAGTGCTTTGAAAGAGACAAATTATTTTGCAGATGATCAGAAGGCACCAAGCTTATTAGAAAACAATCAAGCTATTATAACTTTCACTCGAAAAGGACTTCTGACTGTGGAAACACTGGAAGCAATAAGACTTCACAGAGACCTTCCATGGAAACTGCAACATTTAGATCTCCTTTCTTTCACAAATGACTTGCTGCCTTGTGAGTTTTTACTATGGAAAGCAAACTAAGGAACCTTATGAATATGCAATACCTTGGAAGAGAGATGGGAGAAACAGGGATTTAGATGGAGTGAAAGGAGTATGTGAGTGTGAGTGTGACTCTGTGTGTGTGTGTGTGTGTTTGAGAGAGAGACAGACAGACAGACAGACAGAGACAGAAAGCAACAGAGACAGAAGGAAACACAGAGAGAGATGAGAGGATAAGTCTTTGAGGCTTAAAAAATCATAATTCTATGTCTAATGGTAGCATCCTACTCTCTTCATATTCAATTACACACATCAGGTTGCAATTTTTCTTTAAGTGGTCATTTTGCTGTTTCCTGTGGTTGCCCAAGGAGTGCACTTTATTGGCAAGTCCACATGTAACTCAGACTTGGAGTTCTTCTTGCTTCTTTTTTCTCTTGAAATGGTGAGACTCCTGAAGTATTACTTCTAAATGAAGCATTATTCTAAATTGCTACATTATTTAACAGCATAATGCCAGCCTCGGCCCCATGCCCAGTCAGTGATTTCATGAACAATTAACATCAAAATGGCTTTGCTCTCAGAAAAAAAAGTCTACAAAGCATGAGGAGATACCACCCTGCAAGCTACAAAAACACTGCATGTGAAGATAAAGAATGAGGGTTCAAGTCCTATTTCTGCCACTTGTTTATTAACTTAATGGACATTGTCAGGTCATTTAAACCTTTCTAACTCTCAACAAGGCAGTGCTTGGAAATATCATTGGGTTTGTCAAGAGACAGGTATTCAAATCATGATTTTTCTATTTCCTTTGAAACATTTGCTTTGAAACATTCACTTAAACTCTCTGGGCCTCAGTCCCCTTATCCATAAAATCAGGGTATTTGACTAGGTGATCTCTGGTGACTCATCTGACTCTTCTGGTCAATAAAATAGGAGTGGAAATACATTCAATACTGTGTTGAGAGTATTGAGGAACAACAACTTACAGTGGAAAGAATGTTACATTAGGCATCATTTGAGTTCAAATCCCAGGTCTGTCACTCACTCCCCATGGGACCTGGGTATCTACTTAAACTCAATATCACTTAAACTCACAGTTTGCTCATCTTTGAATAGGGAGTTTTAACTATAATTGCCTCTAAGGGTCTCTTCCTCCAAGTCGAAATGTATGAGTCTACATCTTCCTGAATCTTAGTGTCTTCCCTGTGAAATTATCTATATTTTGCCCTGTCTGTATCTTGCTTGTACATAGTTGTTTGCACATTATCTTACTCATTAGACTATGAGCTCCTTGTGAACAGGGACTGGCACAATGCCTAGAACATAATAAGTATTAAAGAAATTCTATTTGACTAAGTGACCTCACTACCTTTTGGTGTTGTTCTGAGGAATAAAATTATGTATATATGTGTGTATAGAGATATATACGTGTGTGTGTGTGTGTATGTGTGGGTGTATAATATGTATAATATTCATATAAAGTACCTTGTGAACCACAGAAATGATTAATAAATGTAAATAATCTTATAGAGCCTTCCAAAAAGAAATTTGGACCAACACTAATGGTCCAAATCCTAACTCCTGGAGTAAGCCTAACTCCATCACCCAGAGACTGGAAAATGAGCTATAATAAATCAATGAGGAAAAGAATATAGTAGCCAAATTCCAAAACTACCAGGTCAAAGAGAAAATACATACTGCAAGCAGCCAGGAAGAAACAATTTAAATATCATGGAACCACAGTCAGGATTACACAGGACCTTGCAGCTTCTACATTAAAAGACTGCAGGGTGTGGAATATGACTTTCCATAAGGCAAAGGAATTTGTATTACAACCAAGGATCAATTACGCAGCAAAAATGAGCATGATATTTCAAGCGAGGAGATGGATATTCAATGAAATAAGGGACTTCCAAACTTTCCTGATAAAAGGACCAGAGCACAACAGAAAATTTGATCTTCAAATACAAGACTCAAGAGAGACATAAAAAAGTAAATGGGACAGAAAAAAACAACATGTTATTAATAAGACCAAACTGTTTACATCCCTACAAGGGAAGATGACACTTGTGACCCTTAAGAACTGTATTGTTATTACACCATGTTAAAGGAGTATGCATAAAGAGGATGAGTATAAGCTGACTTTGATGTAATGATAAAAAAAAATCTAATTAAGTGGGTTAAATGGATCTAAGTAAGTGGACTAATCTAATCTAGCTAAGAAAATGTACTGAGAGAAAAGGAAAGGAGCAAGCAGGCAAGGGTAAATTACATTACAGGAAAAGACACAAAAACCTATTACAGTAGAGAGAAAGAAGGGGGAGAGGTGAGCATTGTTTGAACCTTACTCATCAGATTTGGCTCAAGGAGGAAAAACATAATCAGCTAGATATAGAAATCTAACTTGCCCTATAGGCAGTAGGAAGGAAAAGGGGAAACAAAAGGGAGGGGGGATAGAAGGGAGGATAGAAGGGGGATAGAAGGGAGGATAGTAAGGGTAAAGGGGAAGAAAAAGGAAGGGGCTAATAGAAGGGAGGTGGGAGTGAGGGAGGCAGTGGTCAAAAACAAAACACTAGTGAGGAAGGAAAAGGAGAAAGGAGAAAAAAAAGCATAAACTCAGGGGGAAAAGATGGAGGGAAAGACACAGATAGTAATCATAACTGTGAAAGTGAATGGGATGAAGTCTCCCATAAAACAGAAAGGGAAAAAAAAAGAAGAAAGAAAGAAATGAGGAAGTTCAGAAGTTCCCGTAGCCATGTGGCTCAGACCATAGTCTCATAAGAGAGAAGTGTCAGTTCTAGCATCTAAGCCCAGTCTGCAGAAAAATAGCCAGGGCAAAAATCCAGAACAAAGGAAAACCTACAATTCTGTAATTCTGAACCAACAGAGCTTCCCAGATGGCTCATAGGAACAGAGTTCTGCAGCAAGCTCCTCTTGCTCAGAACCAAACCCAAGTCAAGAACTTGCAGAGCTCAGACAAGGGTGGGCTGCAGACTATGGCCTCAATCAGAAACTATCTGAAGCACTGAAAGCTTGTAGCCTTGATGCCCTAGCCTGCAATAACACAACACTCAATACCCCAAGAAAACAGCAACACAATCAGCCCAGACCTTCCCTTTAGAAATGTCAAAGAGTTCTAAGATGAACTGCAAAGTCAGAAAGTAGGCTGGAATAATGAGCAAGCAGAAAAAGAATCCCACCTTGAAGAGCATTTATGGTGACATGGAAGCTCACCACATAAGTTCAGAAGAGATTGACTCAAAAATATCAAACAAGTAGAAAAGCACAGCTTAGGCAGAAATTCAAGTAGAATTCTTAGCACTTGAGGGTGAAAATGGAAAACAAATAAGAGCCATGGAACAAAGAATTGGAAAGTGATTTAAACAGCTTGGCACAAGAGGTACAAAACCTTGCCCAAGCAATAAGCCCCCTGAAAATTATAATGGATCAAACAGAAACCAATGACTCCATGAGACAACAAGAAACAAAGTCTAAAGATTCAAAAAAACAATATAAGGCAATATAAAGTATCTAATAGAAAAATAATAATAATCTGAAAAACAGGTTTAGGAGAAAAAATAAGAATCATTGGACTATCTGAATGCAATGAGAAGGAGCCTAGACATACTATTTCTTTTTAATATTTTATTTTTTCCAGTTACATAATTTCATTCTTTTTTTTTAATTTTTGAGTTCCAAATTCTTTTCCTC